CGCGTGGCTTCACCCTCGCGCCGGGCGCTGGCTGGAGGGCACCCCCGGGTCTGACACACGGACGTGCCCACCCCTGAGCACTGACACATGCACCGACCCCGGAACTGACACACGCACGTGCACACTCCTCAGCACTGGCACACATACATGCATGCACCCATGCCCTCCCACAACTGACACACACGTGTGCATACCACCCAGCACTGACACACACATGCCCACCCCCCAGCGTGCACGTACACACACACACACACACACATCCCCCAGAACTGACACACACACATGCACACCCCCCCAGCACTGGCACACACATATGCATGCACACATGGTCCCCCAGCACCAACACACACACACACACACGTGCATACCACCCAACACTGATGCACGCAGGCATGCTCCCCCCCCCAGCGTGTGCGTGCACACACACACACGTCCCCCAGAACTGACACACACACATGCACACCCCCCCACCCCTGGCACACACCCCCGCACCCACACATGCCCCCCCCCCAGCACTGGCACACATACATGCATGCACACATGGCCATCCAGTGCTGACACACACACGTGCGCACCCCACACATGCATGCTCATCCCCCAGCACACACACATCCCCCAGAACTGACACATGCTTGTGCACCCCCCCAGCACTGGTACTCACACCCCACCAGCACTGACACACATGTGCCCACCCCCCAGCACTGACACACATGCACATGCACACACATACACACACACATCCCCCAGCACTGACACTTCCATGTGCACACCCCCCAGCACTGACACACATACACATACATCTCCCAAAACTGACATGTGCACACCCCTCTGCACTGGTGTACACACAGGCATGTGCGCAGCCCCCCAACGCTGACACACACATGCACCCCCCCCGCACTGACATGCACAACCCCGGCACTGAGTCACACCCCCCCAAGTAATGACACGCACATATACACACACCCTAGCACTGACACACGCACACACATGAACACACACTGGCCACATTAACACATGCTCAGCACTTCTAACTTCACTTTGTGCTTTGCAGACCATAGCGAAGTGGCTCCTGGGGTTGCTTGCTGTTGCTGTGATCGTTACTGTCATAGCCGTCCCCGTAGCTTTACTGACAAACAGTAAGTTGGCAGCACTTGATCCTTTGAAGATAATGGAGCAGGCAGAATGTCTGAGCTTCGGGGAAATACTTGTCCAGAGCTTTCACTCAGTGTCAGCAAAGGTCTTGCCAAATCTTTAGACTCCAGCAAGCAAGGTGGTTAGGTGTAGTACTCCAAGATTTCTGAACCTCCGGAAGGCAGCTCACTTTTGAAGATGTCACTAGATTTTTTCTTAAATTAAAAATAAACCCCACCTCCATTCCCAAAGGATCCCAAAAGTATAATCAATTTTCCCCAAAGCGCAATCAAAATATGTCACTCTGGCAACTTTGTTTTCTTATCGGGGCTGAAAATTGTAGACACAACAGTAAAAATCTAGTCTGTCAGTTTTATATGGCATGTTGTAGGAGAGGAGAAGAAATATCCACATTAAAGAATGTTGAGAACAAAACAGTTTTACATAATTGTATGGTATGAAATAGGCAGCACTTTTGCAGAAATCAGCCAATTTGAGGGCAGAATGTGCTAGCGGAGACTGACTTTTGGACTCTGGTCACTTTGGGTTGATTAAGGGGTTTTCCAGTGGGAGGTTGTAGTCTTGGATGGTAATCTGAAACAACGTTAAATCCACATTTAGCAGGTGAGAAACTACCAATATAGCACAATTACAGATCATATTTTTTGTTTTACTTCCTCATGATTAGCAGTTGTGCAGTGTTGCAGTGTAGCATTTTATGCTACATTCTGCTGCATTACAGCAGTGTGGGATTGGAATAAACCTGAGAGAAACGCAGAGTTCCCGCTGATATTTAGAACAGATATTTAGAAGCCTCATTTTCTCCTGTAAGCATCTTGAGCAAGTATTCCAGATCCTGACAGCTAATTGTTACAGAATACTCTCGAAGTAATCTCTGCCGTGTGTACTGAGGTTTGGGGTTTTCCACATTTGAGAGCAGTGATTCTCAGCCAAGGTGCCACGGCATGCTGGATTGCCTCGGGGTCCTTTCAAGGTTGCTGCGGGGCGCCAAGCAATGCAAGCACTGTTAAGTGCAAACGTGAGTCACAAAATAATTCAGAAAAGCATTCAGACCCTGCTGTGGTCCTTCCGAGTTCTTTGCAACAGGACAAAAAATGAGTGAAAGCTAAGAGTGAAAGCATTTTCTGAGGGCTTCTTTGAGTCTGTCAAGTGATCAGGTGCTGCCTTGAGTCTTAAAAGGTCAAGAACCACTAAAGATCATTTAGACTAAAGATATGGTAGTAAAGATAGTTTTGCAATGCATGGTAATCATCAGTAATAGTTAGATATTAATAGAAATTATGGTTTATACTGTCTGGATCTTATATATAGTGCTATCCTATGACTTGTTCAGTAGTTTTTTGGAAGGGGATACAATGGTGGGTGGGTTGGTGGATTTTTGGGGTGGGGTTTCCTGCCTGCCTCAGGATAAGCAGATGTTAAAGGCAAAATTTGCTTTAATTAGCATGCTTTCAGGTGTCAAGTTAATTAAAGCACCCAGAGTGTCACACTAATTAAAGCACCCAGAGTGTCATGTGTATCAGCATCCCTGTGCTGAAAAATGGTGGCAGGGCACTTTGAACTAAAGCTCATCAAACAAGCTTTAGTTTAATGTGGACCGCTGCTGTTTTTCAGCGTGAGGAATTTGATGCATGTGATGCTGGGGTCTGCTGGAGTGCGGTAATTACAATGCTCTAGCAAACTCTGTTAATTGACTCTGCTCTGATGCGCTGTAATTACAGCCTGTTGAAACATTCTCCCTGCACATGTGTAGGAGCCTAAAGTTTTCAAGTAGTTGTGGGGGTAGGGAAGAGAAGCACAGGGAAGGTTTCGGTGAGTTGTCAGGAATGTGTACATGGGAGGATTTTGGAACATGGGTTAACATGAGACTTTGCTGTAGGAAGCACCCTGGAAGAATGTAACATGAAGTGACACATGTACCAAGCTTATCTGGGGGTGGTTCTTCAGGCACACGCTCACCATTAACACAGCTAGCCAGCATTCTTTTTGGGAGTCGAGTTTTCCATGGATGTGTAAGAGTTGGTTAGAGCATTCTGTTTTTAAAGCTGATAAGGACCCTGGAACGTAGTGACTTTTATTAATCCCTAATCTTGCTGGCAACATCACACTATGTCTGTCTCAAAAAAATGGTGTTGTGCTTGTGTGTTTATTTTTAATGCTGCTAAAAGAAGAGACTAGAAAAAAAAAGTTTTACTTGCAGAGTAGTCAGCTGTGTACAAAGTGGTGTTCTACAGTCAGTTTCTGTTTGAATTTGAAATAATTTGGACTTAAGACAAATACCAAAAACAGCATGTATGTAGTCCTTGTAATTTTAGAAAGCGTGTAGATTTCTTGGTTAACTATTGCCCTATTGATTATTGTCCTGGTCAACATAACGGGTTAATTCACTTCAGTGCACCTAAAATTTCCATGGTTATTTCAACAAGACAAAGCATTCTTCTTTTCCAGGAAATAACTTGGTGCATTAGAATTACTTTGTGCCATTATATTGTTGCCATCTTTTAACTCAGCAATTCAGTAACGTTTAATTGATATAGTTTCATAGTTTCTAGGGTCGGAAGGGACCTGAGTAGATCATCTAGTTCAACCCCCTGCCATGGCAGGAAAGAGTACTGGGGTCAAACAACCCCAGCAAGGTGTTCATCTAACCTACTCTTAAAGACCCCCAGGGTAGGAGCCAGCACCACTTCTCTTGGAAGTTGGTTCCAGATCCTAGCCGCCCTGACCGTGAAGTAGCGCCTCCTGATATCTAGTCTGAATCTCCCCTCTGCCAGCTTGTGACCGTTATTCCTTGTTACTTCGAGAGGTGCTCGGGGGAACAAGGTCTCTCCCACTCCCCGCTGGTCCCCCTGCTAAGT